CCTGTAATCCCAACACTTAGGAAGCTATAGCAGGAGGGTCGGCAGTTCAAGTCCAACCTGAGTAACATAGTGACACACTACCTCAAAATAAAACAAAGACCAGCTGGCTGGGGTGATGGTTCAGTCTGAGAAGTATCTGCCATGAAAGTATAAGCGCTTGAGTCATATCCCCAGGATCCACATAAAAAGCTAGGTGTGGTGGCTCGTGCCTGGCAGACATGGGGCATGCTGGCCAGTCTTGACCAACCAGTAACCTCCACATTCAGTGAGAGAACATGTCTCAAAAAGTAAGGTGGAGAACAACTGAGAAAGACAGCCAGCGTGAGCATCTTGAGCACACGCACTCACATGAACACACGTATATTGTTAAAAATAAATTTAAAAGACAAGAAATAAAACTATCTAAAACTGATGGTTAACTACATTATCCTACCCAATCTTCAACAGTCCCCATGTCAGCATGGCAGGGGAAGTTCTGCATGTCATTTCCATCTCACACACAATTCTCCTTCCGCATCCCACATTCCACCCAGAGCACACACTGAACAAAAATCTTACTATTTATCTTTAAATCTTCAGATCAAGCTATAGAATAAACACAGGCCACTTACTTTAAACTATTTATTAATAAATGTATCTCTGTAGCAAGATGATGTCTTAGAAAATATCTTTTTTCCCAAAATGTATTTTATTTGTGTGAGTGTTTTACAGATGCCCACAGAGGTCAAAAGAGCGTGTCAGAGCCTCTGAAAAGGAAGATGCAGATGTTTGTAGGCCACCGTGTTGGTGCCAGGAACTGAACCTGGGTCCTCTGCAAGAACATCAAGTGCTCTTAACCACTGAGCCATCGCTCCAGCCCTAGAAAATAACTGATTAAAGTTAGTGTGATCAATATTAACACTGCCCAACATCATACGCCTCTAGGTAAAACTCAATGAAGAGCACACATCAAAACTATATACTATGCTTGGCCTAAAAAAAATTTAACCTGCATCCATTCGGGAACCAAATCTGCATCATGAGACAAACAATATGGCAACCAGGTGATACTTCAAAAAGGTCAAAGTCATGAAGAAAAAAAAGAATCCAAGGAGACTATTACATGTCAAAAGATATTATAAGGACACAAGAAATGTGATAAGACATAACATGTGATCCTTAATTAGATTCATGATGGAAATTTTAAAAGACAAAAAAATGCATTTACAGAACAGCTGGAGAAATTTGCCCATGGACTATACTATGGCTTAAATGTATCCCCAAAAGTTTATGTGCTGAGAATTTAGACCCCAAAGCAAGCAAGGCTTTAGTCATAGGGGACTAGAGGTCTCACAGGAGCATCATCACTACTGCAGAGTGGTCCTTACAGAGACTGGATTTGTTGTAAGAACAAGTTTACCTCTCGTGCTCTTTGCACCCTCTCATCCACATGGCTCCAACATAAAGAAAGGGGAAAAAAGGTTTTCTCCACACACTGCTTCTTGATCTGACACTCCCAGACTCCAGAATCTAAGCCATATAAATTTCTTGATAAATTACCCAGTCTCCAGCTCAGTTATAGTAGCTGCAAGCAGACTAATAAAGACTATATTAATTAGGATATCTAGAAATGATTGATTCTTGAATCATGACAGCATGTGGACATACATAAAAGGGTATTTAATCTCAGAAGACAGATACATGTAAGTGTTCAAGTATACAAGGTTATAACTGAAATTTACTTTTGAACACTCCAAGAAAAAAGCAAAGGTGCATTCAGAGGAAGCAAGAAATAAAGTAATGTGACATACAATGGCAACAACCTGAGAAATATATGAGGGCCACCCTATGGCTCATTCAGGTATTCTATGTCTTCCATTTTAAAAAAGAGTTGGAAAGCACAGTCATTGAAAATGCACCAGGTGATCTCTATAAATTTCAGGACAGCCTGCTCTACAAAGTGGGTTCCAGAACAGCCAGGGCTACATAGTGAGACCCTGTCTCAAAAAAATGTAATAATAATTAGGGGAGGAGGAGGAAGAAGAGGAGGAAAGCAAAATGTGTACATATTTGTTTAAAGTGATTTTTTCTTTTATTATGACTCTATGTAAAATTTATAAGGCTGGAGATATGTTAAAAAGCTGGCTACTCTTGCAGAGGACTCAGGTTTGGTTCCCAGCACCCACATGGCAGCTTACAACTCTCTCTTAGGCAGGTAGTGGTGGTGGTGCACACCTTTAATCCCAGGATCTGGGAGGCAGAGGCAGGTAGATCTCTGTGACTTCAAGGCCAACCTGGTCTACAGAGCAAGTTCCAGAGCTACCCAGAGAAATCCCAATTAAAAAACAAAACAAACACAACTGTCTCTAACTCCAGTTCCAGGAGATCTGACATCTTCTTCTGACCTCCAAGGGCAACAGGCACTTTCCAACACAACACACTTTCACTGATGTAGGCAAAACACAATAATATGAATTAAAAATAAATCTCAACTTAAAATCTATGCTTAAAACATTATCTTTATTACTTTCAACCTGATTTAAAAATAAAATTCATTAATGATTTGCTCCTTTTCCCATATTTTGTTATTTAACAAAAAACTGTGACACAAAGATAAGTTTAAAGACTTTACACATATATATGTATCTCACATGACATATAACATGTGCTTATATATCACATGTGCATACAATATGTGTTTGTATATGATAGTCACATACATATCTCAAAGGCTTAAAAACAGAGGTACACAAATAATGAATATCAGACCCTGAAATTCTGTCTCCAACATGAACTTTCCTAAACAACACCCATAAGCATCCGATGACCCACTGGGCATCTCCACAAAATAAAGAGGAGTCAAACAAAGCATTATCTTTTCCACTCTATGCTCCTCACCAGTTCATACTCCAGAATTATCCCTCCATTATTCTCCCAATAGGTTCAGTTCAAAAACTCAATAACCTCTTTATCTCTCCTTATATGTCCAGTTACTCAAGAAATCAGCCAAATCAGTGGCATCCATGGAAATAAAGAACAAACTTTGGAAAGCACATATAAGGAACACTGTCCACTTCAGACAAGATATTTGTGCTCCCCTCCTCTCTTTCTCAATATTGGACATGATTGTACCTAGGAGGTCTCTGGGAGACAGATGAAGTCATGGAGATGTGGTCTCCATGAGAAAACTAGTTTTATCAGAGAACCTGAACTGTGTGAGGATATGGCAAAAAGGCTGCATTTTGAATCATGAAAGAGGCTCTGACGAGGAAATTAATTAGTGGTACCCAAATCAAACTACTTACCAGACTCTAGAACAATGAGAAATAGATTTTTCTTGTTTAATCCATCTAATCAATAGTGCTGTTAAAGCAGGCTAAGCAAAAGCAGTTTGGAAAACTCACTAAAGAGGAGCCAGAAAAGGAAATAAAAATCATTTGAAGAAATATGGCTAGAACTCTACTTTGATGCAAGATATAAAATATGTGTGGTGGCTTGAATGAGGACATTCCCATAGGTTCCTATATTTGAATGCTTTGTTCCCAATTGGTGGAACTGTTGGGAAAAATTCTGCAATTTGTGAAAAGGAAAGGACTATAGAATTATCTGTTCCTAAAGGGTAACAAACCAAGACTTATGCAAATGTGATTCAACGAGTAGGCTGGGTTCCATCCCAACCTGACAGCCTCAGCCCTGTGGTTCTGCCTTTAGAGTTACAAAGGACTCAGGAGTAAAGGAACCGTACAATCTTCCTCTAAGGTTAAAGAGAGCTGCAGGGGCCAGGGGTGTGGCTGGGCATTCCCGCAGGGAGAGCAGCTATGAGAAGTAGGGAAGCTGGGAAAGCAAAGCTTGGATGTACTGAGACCCCAAGAGGGAGGAGATGTCAGAGCATGGGACACCTGCAAGGAAACCTGCTAACAGGAAGTGGAACCACCCAGAGAAGTGACAGTCGGCAAAACTGGAAAGAGTGGGAGACCTGGAAACCATGGAAACCCTTTGATGACAGGCACAGAGCTACAGGACTTGGAGTCTGCCCTGCTGGGTTTCTGTCTTGCTCTGGTCCAGTATTTCCTCACTACACCCCACTTCTCCCTTCTGGAATGGTAATGCACATTCTGTGCCAAGGTATGTTGGAAGCATGTAATTTGGTTTTCCCTTTTACGGGGTTACAATTAAAAGACTGCCTTTAGTCTGACAAGAGACTTTGGACTCTGGGTTGTTACGCTGTGTTAAGGTTTTGAAACACTGCGGGGACTTTTGAAGTTGAACTAAATCCATCTTGCATCATGATATGGTTATAAGCCTAGGGAGGCCAAGGAATGGAATATGGGAATGGCTCCATAGGCTCATCGATTTGAATACTTGGTCCCCAGGTGGCAGAACTGTTTGGGAAAAATCAGTTAGTGAGGCTTTATGAGAGGAGGAACGTCGCTGTAGATGGGCTGGGAGATTTCAAACGCCCTTGCGGTTCCCAGTTAGCTCTTTCTCTCTGCACCTTGCTTGTGAATGAGAAGTGAGCTCTCAGCTACTGCTCCAGTGCTCTGCTGCCGCCGCCGCCATGCTCCCCACGATGATCATGGACCCCCAATTAAATGCTTTGTTTGGTAAGGGGCTTTGGGCATGGTGTTTTGTTATAGCAATAGAAAAAGAACGGAAACACTATGTATTCAAGGGTATCAACAAATTCCAAGCAAGACCAACTAAAAGAGACCCATACAATACACACTATAAAAACACTAAACAAATGAACTGTACCTCTCATCAACCAAACATGCAACCTTGGAGAAGGGAAGATTTTGATTTCCAGAGTTATTACCTTACAATATTAAAACTGTCCAGTTCTCAATAAAAACTGTAAAACACACATACACACACATGCACATGTGTGCCTACAGCCAATTCACAGAGAAGAAGGCTAGCAAAAAAAGTCCCTGATAGAGTGAAGGCACTGGAGATACCTAACAAAGACTTAAATTGGCTGTCTTTTATTATTTTATATTATTATTATTTATTATATTTTTAAGGGAAAAGCACAAACGCAGTCCCCTACTACTACAAACTACGCAGTTGAGTTTCCCACATTTGGGGAAATCGCAGGGGTCAGCACCTCTGGAGTGGGATGGGTAAGCCTGGCCCTGGAAAACCACCTCCGTGATCATGGTATTAAAAATTAACTATTGTGCCGGGCGGTGGTGGCGCACGCCTTTAATCCCAGCACTCGGGAGGCAGAGGCAGGCGGATCTCTGTGAGTTCAAGGCCGGACTGGACTGACAGCCTCCAAAAACAATGGATGAAAATGTAGGGAATATTAATTATTAAAAGGTACAAATAGAAATGTGGGAGTGGAAAACAATAAGGAAAATTCTGAATCCTTAGGAAAATTCAACAACATACTTGAATAGGAAAAGAATCAGTGAGTTTGAATATGACACAATTAAGATTACCTAGTCTGAGAACCAGTCTTTATTCTGAGAACGAAGAAGAAAAATGAAGCTGGACATGGTGGCACGTGTCTGTAACTCTAACAGGGAAATGACTGTGAGTTAGAGGCCTTCCCAGTCCACCTGGCAAGTGTGGGGCCAACTGAGGCTTTACAGTAAGATGGAGGAAGAGGGAGGGAAAGGGAAAGGAACCAGAAGAAAGAAGCTGACAAAAACTGAGGAACCTATAACAACATACAAAAATCTCATAGGAAAAGAAAAAGGGAACAAAAACACAAAATTATGGCTAAAACATTTATAACTTTTATGAAAGAACCTATAAATCTAAGAATCTCAACAAAATCCTAAGCAGAATAAACTCAGGGATCTACACTAAAACATAATATATTCAAGGCAGTGACAAACAAATAAAAAATCATGAGAGAAGCAAAATCAGACATGTTGGCACATGCGTTCGATCTCAGCTGGAGGGTGAGGTGGGGGATCACGATGCTAAGGGCAGCCTGGAATATATAACAAGATCCTTTCCCTAAGGTAGGGAAGGTGCAACCAATCAGATAACTGAGATCTTCTAGAAGAGACTGGCAGATTCTCATCAGAAACCATGGCAACTGGACCACTCAACCAGGAATTCTATAGTGAGCAAACCATACTTCAGAAATGAGGAAAGATTTAAAAAATAATCAGAAAACCAAGAAATTCTGTTACTAGTAGCTGACAAGGCATGATGAAAAAAGACCTTCATGCTGAAATGAAAGAACACTAATTGGTAACAGATACAAAAAATATATAAGACTTTTAGTATGGAAAAATACATAAATATGAAAACTAGTGTTACTATACTGTTGCTTTGTAACTCCACTTTGTTTTCTATGATATAGACAAAGGCATAACGTTATAGTTGTTTCTAATTTAAATTTTAAAAAAAGCAAGGTAGACCACTACTTCCCACCAGAATGAATGGGAAGACCATGTGTACCTGGAGATCTTAACTTCTGGCAGTGTCTCAACTCTGACTACAAAACTGAATCATTTCAGAGCCTTAAAATCCTGAGGTGTGGGTCTAACCAAGACCACTTAAACCAGAATTTCTATTTTGCATACAAACATATACATAAAAATTGGCATATCATTCATTAGTTAATATCCCAAGAAAACTATGAGTCGGGACTAGGATTAAATCTTTCTTGGTAATCATTTCTTTCACTAAAATATATTTTATGTGACTGGTAGACATGTGTGAATGGCTGAAGATAATCAGACTTTCCACAAAGAGATCCAAACAGTCAATTAATTAACATAAGTTGAATCCATAAATACCATGCCTCATTCAAGAGCACAGAAATTGATCAAGGACCTCAATATAAGACCTGATGTCTTAAGGCTAAAAGGATGGCTCAGTGGTTAAGAGCACTGGCTGCTCTTCCAGAGGACCTGGGTTTTATTTCCAGCACCTACAAGGAAGCTCACAACCGTCTGTAACTCCAGTTCCAGGCAATCCAATGTCTTCTTCTAGCTTCCATGGGCACCAGGCATATATGTAGTATGCAGACATACATGCAGGCAAAACACCCATATATAAAACTTTTTTAATAGAAAAGGCCCTGATACCCTGAATCTGTTAGAAGAGAAAGTAGGAAATTTACTTCCACTTCTAGGCACAGGAAAAAACTTCTGAGCAAGACCTCCACTGAGCAGGCAGTAAGACCATCCACTGATAAATGGTCCTCACTAAACTAAATAGCTTCTGCACAGCAAAGAACACCATTATTGAGTGAAGAGGCAATCTGCTGAATGGGGAAAAAAAAGAAACACTTTACCAGCTATATATCTGACAGAGGGTTAGTGTCTAGAATATTACAAAGAACTTAAAAACTAATACCAAGAAGACAAACAACCCAATGAAAACTGGGCCATGAACCCTCCAGAGCTGTCAAAAGAAGAAATACAAATAGCTGAGAAGCTTTAAAAAAATGTCAACATCCTTAGCCATCATGGAAATGCAGTTTAAAACACTTTGAGATTTCATCTTCGCCAGTCAGAATGACTAAGATTAACAAATCAACAAGAACAAAGACAACGAGAGCTAATGCAGATGTGGGAAAGGGGATAAAATGCACAGTTGGTAGGAGTGCAAACTGGTATAGCCACTATCAAAATTCCTGCATGGTACACTATGTGTGTACCAGCCACATACTGATTGGATTTAAAGCCTGCTCCACAATTCAAAATTCCTGCATGGTACACTTAAATAGGACCAAAAAAAAAAAAAAAACCATGGCTAACTAGCTCACAGGACCCAGAGGAGCATCTAACTATTATTCTGCTAAATGGACATAGCATTAAGCTACCCCTTAAGTTCTTCCCTTTATATGTATAGTTAAGTATTTTGCTCAACCCACATAAAAGAAGCTTCTTTTTGAAGCAGACAGTGATTAATACAGACACCCACAACAGCACAAGAGACTATAGAGTGCTCAGTTCTAATGGGACATTACATCCTGCCTCCTGTTCTCAAGGTTTGGGAATCAATGAGGAAGAGGGAAGGAAAGACCATTTTAAAAAAAAAAAAAGAAAGAAAAAGAACCACAGGGGAAATCAGAGTCATGCAATGTTTCTTGGTAGCCAGGCCTCCTTTACTGGATATGGACAGTAGGTTTAGAGTAATCTATCTGGCTCTTTTCTCCTGTCTAAACTAGTGCCCTGAACTAAACGTTAACATTCACAAGCCTTAGTTAGCAGAACCAACTCTAACTGCCCAAGTGACATCACGAGTCTGAATGACCCTGACTCCTGCTAAACTCAAACTGCTTCACGGTGAATGATCAAATGAAATGTAAGTTTGAGACATAGAGATCTTTCTGTGAATGACTGGAAACACATCTGCACTGCACTGCAGGCTGTAACTAAAAATGTGGACAGGGCCTTTTCTTTTGCTAGAGATCAAATTGAGGGGATTGTGCTTGCTAGATAGGTACTCTACCATTAAGTTAGCTAGATTCCACAATCCTAGGCCAAGGTCTTAAAAACAAACTTAAAACTTTGCTTATTTCTATAAAAAATGCTTTGGTTGCTTTTTTTGTTGCAGGTAAAATACCCTGGCAAGAGAAACTTAAGAAAGAGCGGGTTTCGGGGCTCACTGTTGTAGAGTACAGTGCATCACGGTAGGGAAGTCCTGTCAGCAGGAGGTTACGGCAGCTAGGGCAGGGGCTCAGTTGGTTTCCTCTTTTTTTTTTCAGACTAGGACACAAACCCTATAGGGTGGGTCTCCCTACTTCAGTTAACCTAATCAACAAAATTCCTTACAAGAATGCCAGAGGCTACCCTAAATGAACAAAACTCTTACAAGTGGCCTAGATGCTTGCCCGCCTCCTAGGTGATTTTTTTCCCCCATTGACAGCACTAACCATCACAAAAGGACAATGGGTATGCTGAATTATTCCAGCATGCCTTACTTAACAGATATCTACTTGTATATGAATACATAAAAATTATTTTCTACTTCAAAGTGTTTTTACTTTTTTTCTTTTTGGTATTTCAAGACCAGGTTTTCTCTGAGTAGCCCTGGCTGTTCTGGAACTTGCTCTGCAGACCAGGATGGTCTCAAACTCAGAGATCCATCTGCCTCTGCCTCCTGAGTGCTCAGTGTTTTTACTTTTAGCTTACAGAGCTTTTTAAAATTTAAAAGTACCACATTCAAATAACAAAAAGTCCCAATATCAAAATAAAAACTGTGAAGCCCTAAAGCATGCCTTTGATTTAAGGACAACAATGATTGGCTAGCTGGATGTAGGTCCAGCACAGCCTAGGCTATGTAGGAAAAGAGGAGGAAAGAAAGGAGAGATAAAAGGAAAGACAGGAAGGACAGATTTTAAAAATTAAAAAAGGAAGAGAAGAAATGGTATAATATGTCCAAGAAAAACCATTAATGAAGTAGAATTAGTAAGCTTGTAACCCCAAGTAAATGGATTAACAGACATATACCATTAATATTCATATAAAACATTTTTAAAATGTTAGGAAAAGATCAACAATAAAATTATCAAATATTCTTCCTTAAATTTGTCTTCCTTAATAAACTTAGAAAAATGAAAAACACTGAGCAACAAGGTTGCTTAAGTAACATTTTCTTTATTATTTTTGTTTTGTTTTTACTTCTTATAGTATTGAGCACTGAACTCAGGGTTTTACATGTGCGAGTCAAGTACACTCACTCAGCTAAACCCCCAGTCCATTTGCTCATTATTTTAAAATCTGCTTAGGGAATAAATTAGATTCCAGTTTTCTAAGCAGTATTTTGCATTTATCCACTCCTTTCAAATTTACATTTAAAAAACAATTACCCATTTTTATTTTGTCTTTGAGGAAAGCTAGCTCATTTATATCTGAACAGAGATAAATCAACAGTTCATGAACTTGTTCATGCATTCATTCACTTAACAAATTCTGAGTACCGACTACATGTACCATTCCAGGCACTGGACAGAGCAATAACGAAATAAAAATAAACTTCTATTCTCAGAGATTTTCTAACTAGAAGAGAAAAAAACAAAATATCTGAAAGTCCTAACCACTACTGAAAAACTGAAGGGGAAGCATGAGTAAGTCAGGAATCCATTTTGGATCCTTCAGTTTGAAGACTCTAGTAGCTATTTAGGTATAGATAGCTGACAGGCAATCAGAGGAGGAAGAAGATGAAGGAGGAGGGAGTAGGAGAAGAGGGGCAGGAGGAGGAGG